ATCGAAAAACACGGATAATCCAAAAACTCCTTTTTATTAAAGAAAAAATGAACATCAGTACAAAAAACATAAAAATTAATTACATTTGCATGCTGTATAACATCAAACTAGGAATTTAACATTTACTGCTTAAGAAAATGTGTAATGCGTCTTAGCTTCTGCTGTTTGTTCATCTCTTGCCGTATATTGGCACATATTTTACGAACCGTAGTAATGTCACCGTAATCAAATCCTCGTTCTCCCATATAATCAATCTCATAAAGTTTCCACAGATTCTAGAGCAGCAGAATTAGGAATTGTATTTCCCTCATTTATTGAATCTTCTGCATCATCACTATTTGATTTAACACAGTTAGTAACAATTTCCTCATCTGTTACATACTGGAAGTCAAGCTCACATACATCACTTTGAAACAAATTTTCCTCATCAAGAAACCTTCGATTTCTTTTCCTTGTTCAAAAATACTGTTATCATATTCTTCAATATCTGAAGAAGATTGTTCATCAAGCGATCTTTCTACAAGATAACGATTTTACCTTTGACCATGATATTCCATATACTGCAATCCAATAATGTATATTGCTTTCGAAAAGTGTTATAACTTCATTGCAGCGATTATTATCAATAAAAACATTAGATTCATATTTTGTTAATAAATGGCGAGACTGATTTGACAAAATTTCTATTCATATATTTTACATGCATCATAATCTTGAAAATGTTTCTCTTTAAAAATTTTTTGGGACTCCGAAAGGAGCACGGATAAACCGCAAACCGGATAATCCGCGCACGGATAATCGAGAGTGTACTGTATACGGTTCTAATTAAGCTACAATCCATATTGCAGACTGATAGTAATAAATCTAACCTACAGGCTTACTATCTAACCTAGGGCAGGGATGGCGAACCAATGGCACGCGTGCCATTTATGGCGCGCGACACAATATTTTGGGCACGCCACCGATCACAAAGTTGACTATGAAGCATATTAACAATTAAATTAAAATTCATAAAAAATTAACAAAAAAATTAGCAATTCCAAAAGAGCAATTAATAACCATAAAAAAACAAGCTAACAATAAATAACTAGCAAAAAAATTAACAGTTCTGCTTAAACTAACATCTTATAACCCTAATATAAGTTATTTGTCATCTAATCTGCAACAACAGAAATCACACTGATATTTTAAGTTGAATTATGCGTCCCGCAGTGGACTGATCGTTAAGACACTGCTCCCAGCAGATCACCGAAGTCAAGCATCACTGGCTACGGTCAGTGTGCGGGTGGGTGACCACTTGGATCAGTCGGCGTAGGGACCGAGGGTGTGCGGTATTGGTCCTCGTTAAACTGTGCTACCGTAAAGTGCTCGACTTCGCGAGCAGGTCGTCAGGCTACCGAAGCGGGGGTGCCATCCCCTCCGCAGAGGATCAAAATTGTGATGGCATGTCTTCGGATCATCCTCCGGGATGTTTCCCAGACCGTCGCCAATAGCCCATTGTGCAGCTCTAATGCGACGTAAATTAACAACAACAACAACAAGTTGAATTATGTGTTTAATTGAGACATTGCAAAAAAAAAAATTTTTTTTTCGTTGTAAATAAAGAGTTTTGAGTTGATAGTATTTAGTATTATTATTTACCCAATAATCAGGAAGTCAAAACTATTTGTCGGCACGTCTATGACCTCATTAAAAAAATTTGCAGAAAGAATGGCACGTTGGTGCATAAAGGTTCGCCACCCCTGGTGTAGGGACTCAGAGTAATTAGCTATATCCCGTAGTCTGATAACAATTAACCTATTATGAATTGTGTATAAACTGATAGTAATTTCGCTGTAGCCCATAGACTGATAGTAATTAAGCCATAACCTTATACTGATAGTAATTAAGCTATACCCCTTAGACTGATAGTATTTAAGCCATATCTCTTAGACTGATAGTAATTAAGCCATGACCCATTAACAGATAGTAATTAAGCCATGACCCATTAACAGATAGTAATTAAATTAAGCCATGACCCATTAACAGATAGTAATTAATCCATAACCCATAGACATATAGTAATTAAGATGCAACCTATAGATTGATAGTAATCATGATATAACCTACAGTGTATAGGCTGACAGCAATTAAGCAGCAACCCACAATTAGTTGACAGATAATAATTAAATTAGAATGCATTTTTTGCCTACAAATGTTTTGATAAGAAATAAGACATGTTTAACAAAGGCTCGAAAGTTCAGATTAATTATCAAAATACTTTAAAACTTAACATATCATTTTTAGTTTCTGTTTGATAATTATTTATTTTTTTTAAGTATTTTAATGAATACAACTTTAATTTTTCAAGTAATGTAAATCAGAATTCTTTAAATTTTGCTACTTTTATATGAAATAAATTTAGGCTTAAGTTCAAGTATCCTGTTGATTTCGATAGTGCTCTCAAATTAAAAGTACAGTATCGCAGTTAGGCCTTCAAAATTGAATAATTTTTATAATAGTATAAAATTAAAATTAGTTTCTTAAATCAAGCAAACTCATATACAGTATTGTATGAAATAGAGCATGAAACACCATTGTCTTTTTCTGCGTTAAAGGGAAAGTTTTCCAAACACGGCTCACTTTCAAACAATATTTTATTTTCCAAATTTGCGCTTATTTGTAGTTATTTAGATTTAAGAGATGGTTATTTGGATGCCACAATTGGCATTACATATTTATTTCCTACCTTTTAAAATATCTTTAATTACTTAAGCTCATTTTTTTATTAATAGTTATATTTAAAATTAATCAAAGACTTAATCTTTTAAGCCAGTGTTTCCCAAAGTGTGGTACGCGTACCCCCAGGGCTACGGGAACAGTTCAGCTGGGGTACGCGTTCTTATGCGAAATATATTGCAACAAACAAAATTTCAAATTTTTTTTATTTAACAACAAAGCAAGCCATGAAAATTTACGATTACGTATTTTTCTAATGGCTATTTTTTACAGAGTTAATAGTTAATAATTAGTGGTGTCAACAGCCAGCTTTGATTTTTAACTTTTGTGCAATTTTTTTTCTAGTAAAAAAAATTCATTTTTAATTAGTGGTACACAGCGTTACGAAAAATTTAGAAAGGGTACACAAAAGTCATAAGTTTGGGAAACACTGTTTTAAGCCAACATAAAATGTTTATTTATTTCATCGATCAATGTAAGAGATATTTTTTATTTCAATACTAATGTAGATTTATTAATTCACTGCCGCGCCTAATCGAAAACAAAAATCTATTTAACTTTTTAATTCTAAATTTCTAACCGCAAAAATGTTTCAGTAGCATGGTTGTAATAATTCCCATAAATTTATTGGCGACTCGTGATCGCCAAGGTATTAAACAGCTCCCTGCATTAAACCCAATCTTGATATGCGGGGTTGGCTTTGTTTTGGCTATGTTATATTTTGATAATTTGCCAATTTTGGAGCTCCTATCTGTGCCTCTCCTGTGTCCGTGGGAGCAAATTACACGCACTTTTAATTTGGCTTTTAATTAGACAGGTCATTGGGTATTTGTCTCCCATGGCCTGTTCTTATTAATATTACTATGCAAAATTTATTTAACTGAAATTCTTATATTTATAATATAAGATATATTTATATTTTGTATCTCGAGCTCTATATATTTATTAAAATAAGAGCTTCATATTAGTCATGATCCGGTTTTCATTTTAAACTGTTATTTTGGTGATCTCCTGTTGTCATCACAATCTTGATTTGGTCCAGTATACCATACACAGAGATGGCAACTGCTCCGGACACGCAAAAAATAATTAATAAAACGGTATACAACTACAAGTAGATTTTACAAAAATTTGACTATTTTTGCTTGCTTCTTAAAAGGAATAGCATATCATTCGCATTATAAAGTGGTGAATTATATAAGCCTACGAATTATTTAGAAATAGTGGTGAATAAAAATCTACTAAATGGAATTTATAAAACCAATAATCACAATTGATAAACTACCACTTTAAAGTATAAATTTGCTGTCCGGAGCAAGTTGGCATCTCTGCATACAACTTCCAACACCCCGAATTACCATCTCAACATTATTCATCATTGAAATTTATTTAATTTACAAAATCAATAATTTATAAATTTTTGGATATAAATGAAAAAAAATTAAAACTGCATTTTTGGATTTTATATTTTAGTACAAATGTAATTCTGGATAATCTTAAGATAATTTTTAATAACTATTAGACTGTTTTTTACATTAAAAAAATATCAAGATATATTTTTGCTTGCATTTAGAACAGCGTTTCTTAACCTTTTTCGTGTAAAGGACCCCTTTTAAGATTTTTGAGAAGTCACGGACTGCAAAAAAAAATTGCAAAAAACACAAATTATTAGAAAACATTTAATTTTATTATTTTAATAGTACACAAAATTTTTAATGTGAAAGTTGTTGCTGCTTTTCCTTAACGTTTTTATTGTCACAAGTATGGAAATCCCGCTTCGTAAAGATACACTGTAGCAAACGGAATTATAGTTGCAAACTGAAAGCCGGTTGGTGGATGATGTTAAAAATATGGCAGGGATATTAGAAGGCTGTGTGCAGTCCGCGCGGAATATTAAATATAGAAAAAAAATATATAACACATGCGTCGAAGGGTTAAAAAATATGCATCATCTCAATTGGTGTCCAAAGCAACTCTTAGTTTTCGTTTTTCCTAGTGCATTAAACATGTTTTTAAAATGTGAGGCAAAGTCAAATAAAAGTACGCTAATTGAATAAAAATTATACTGTATAAATTTGTCTCTTTAGTTTTATGTTAGTCATTTTTATTTATATAAATTTTTATTAAGATAAGAATATATAAAAGGAGCACCGGTTTGTCAAAGGGTCAATATTACTCCAAAATGAATCTATTGACAGACTTTCGTGGGTCGCGTCTGTAGCAAATCCTTTATGTAATGTATGCAGTGTCTTAAAGTAATGAAAAAAAAAAGATGTACTTACGAGATGAAGATGAGTAGAATGACTTTTTTTCGCATGTTGGATGTGCTCAGAAGATCACATAATGTATGAGTGCCATTTTCCTTATCTTCTTGTAATGCAAGCTCCACTCTGAATCTTCTCTGCAATGTAAAAAAAAATATTCACAAATATTAACAAGCTTCAAAAACATTGCATTAATCTTTCATAATCTAAAAAAATGGACAAATTTCATTAATTTTTAATGCTATGGTGTATGCAAGTATCTGATTATAACTTCAGAAAGTATGAAAAATACCAATGAAGGGCTTAGTTAAAAAAAATATGGGTCACAGTAAAGGTAAGGGTGGGATCAAGAAGAGTGGCAAACACTGTTGAGTTATTTTCTCATGCGCGTTATGCTTATGCTCGTTTGATCATTCTGTTCAGAGATTGTGCAGCTAGTTATAAACACAGGATTTATAACTTAGGTTATTTATAAGAACAGAAGTCACTGTTTAGCAGTAAGTGAAGTTTCGAAATTCCTACCCACTTTTCGCCAAACAAATGGTCTAAAAATTCAGATTATTTTTAAACAATATGATAAATTAATTCTTTTATGAAAATCAGTCTTTAGGATCAATTTTCAAATCAATTTTAGAAAAATATATTTCAGGAAAAATAATTTATGAATCAAAATTATTTAGGAAAAATAGTTAGGAATCTGGAAGTGAGTCACCCTGGAAAGGATTAAAATCAAACATATAAGTTCCCTTTCGAGAAAATTAATTTTTCACGTCCCTGATTTTTACTGCTATTTAGTTAATATTATGTCTCTGTAACTATTGCCTCTATGTTAATATTATTTGTGTAAATTAATATAAAAACCGGTTTATAAAGTTGAGTTAATTTTGTTATAAAAATAGAAATATTTATTCAAAAGTAAAATGGTGTAATTACTGAATGAATGTCAAGTTTTCATAAAATGACTTTTCAGACATATTTATGAACTTTCCTCAAACTGTTCGAATGAAATTAGTATTATATTATATTAAGATTAATCTCCTTCACATTTTGTTGAGAAATTATTATTAAATTAATTTAAAAAGAAGCAAAAGTTGTAATGGCTCAACGGTTAAAGGAAACGATGGGTCATCAAAACGGATAAAAATCCGATTTTTCAGTGTGGGCTAGAAGCTCATACAGCTTCAGATGGATGGGTATCAGCTTGTCTCGGAAGTAAATGCGGCCTGTGTGCAATGCTGATAACATTACCACAGTTATGGCGTTGGTTTCAAAAGTACGGAACTTAAACCACCATGACTCCTCCAGCTAACAGTGAGTTATTGCTGGAATTTTTTTTATTTATTTCAGCAATATACCAGCAATATTTTCAAGGAAAAATGCTTGATTTTAGAATATTTTGTACTAATTTGTTTTTAAAATTTGTGTTAAAAAAAAACCAATTATTTGTTTTACGTAATTTGGTATGCGATATATATAAGTAAAAGTTATTTTGATGAAAGTTTAGGAGCGAAAAGTATTATAAAGAGGACGCTGTAAAACCAGTTTTGAAAAAGAAATTTTGAATTCAAAAATATAATTTGAAGTTCGTATTTGATATGCAAATTAAAAATATTAAGAAATTTTCAAATAAATTTGTTTTTAATTACATTAATTATTTCTTGTTGTCATTGTCCTGAATTTATAAGTTTGTAAACGGGAGAAGTGTAATTATCTGTATAACAAATATGGATGTTGAAGAATTAGTTTTTTTTGTCTCTTACAGATATTTGATACGTGTATAATAAACAACTAAATCTAGATAAGTTTCAAAATTTGGCCACCTATGAAAAGCTTCATATGCAGGTGACTTCGACTTTCACATGAAATGAAAGTTGCTCAGTGAAGCATTAAAGTATTTCGGTAAATACCCCTCCGGTAAAAATTGTTTAGAACAGGGAACATTGTTTATCAAATTCATTACAGTATGTAAAGTTTTAAAACAATTTCTTCGTGAGACGCAAAAATTTGATGGAAAACTCCGTAATTTTAAAAGCTATTTTTTCTTGAATAACATTCGTCTAGGTGTATAGCAATGATTATATTTTAAAAATTACGTGACACTTAAATCTGTTTAATTTAATGTATATGACATTAAAGTTGGAAACTTTTTAATGCTAGAAACGGTTTAAGTAATAACCTTTTAGATTTAGGGTTATCGAATCTTCCACTTAATGTTAAAATAACTAAATTTCATAAACTTTGTCTCTAAAAAAATGAATCAGTTTTATAATTTTTTTTCTTCACTGATAAAAATGTATCAATATTGCAACCATATTATTGAATCATAATACGGTGCACATGCTATGACTGACCATGAATTGAATTGAACCATGTTTTTGATTATATTGAACTATAATAAGATGCAAATGGGCTGTGAAAATGATTTCATTGAAATCAAACCATAAGGTGCGAACGTGCTGCATTTGTAATTAGGTGTTAAAATGAGCCATGTTCTGATTTTGTTCATAATGCTGTGCAAAAATGCTGCGACTGCAATTCGGTGTTTAAGTGAGCCTTGTTTTCGTTCAAATGGAACTAACTTAACAACATACTACGATTGCATCAAATTTGAACTATAATATTGAATACGATTCAAAATATATAACAGAGAACTAATTTAGAATATTTTAATAAAATGGTTTTCGGAACGGAAAATTTGATTTTTGATGTAGGACTCTCGATAATTTTCTATTGGTTTTAAAAACCGAATCATTAATTAAAGAATGAATAATTAAAAAAATTATCGCCACAAGTTTAAAGAGGAATTCTAAGTCTATCATTATTTTAAAATGAGTTGAATTTTCCTAGATTTGAGATTCTGCAATTTGGCAATGATTTGATGAAGAAATTTCGCACAAATTTTTAGTTATATATTTTTTTCTTCTTTTTTATGCATTTGATTTGCTGAGCATTGAACCTGTTTAATATCTTATGTGTCCCAAAACACCACGCTTTGCTGTCGATATATTGAAATGATCATTTTGCGACGCAGTATTTCGGGAAAATTAGACAACGATGGAATAAATATTTTTCAACAACAAATCATCAAAACATCAAATTTTCCAAAATATTAACGGTGGTATAACAGTGGACATGCTTCAAGTGCTTAAAAACAAAAACCCATTTTCAATACTCGCCAAACTGAAGTGAGGATACAAAAATAGTTTGAATCAGAATTAAAAATTGTGAACAAAAATTGGAGGAAAAAAAACTAGATAAACTTCTAAGGCGAGAGAGTCAAATTAGAGCAAAATGCATTTCCACATGGATTGGTTGAGACAGTAGAGGTGACTATCCACTTCCATAAGTGAATGAAAATGCATTTTTCCATAATTTCCTTCTGTCATGCAATGCGGTTTTTCTGGTTTTGTTTTTTAAACTTTTTTGTCACTATCACCTACCACGGTTTTCTACTTTTTTTCTTCTTCAATATTTTAAATCAAATACAGTTTTCAAATCTTCAAATAATTTCTACTTCTGTTTCTTTGGATTATACAATTAACTAATAAATCTCACTACACTTAAGCGTTTTCTTTCTCCAATCAATTTACACAACAGCAGTAAACAGAAGCGGTACGTATAACTAAACAAACTAATAAATGAATACCACAGACAAGTACTGAGTTTGAGATTAAGTTTATTGCTCTGTAGTCCAAAGAAACAATTTGACAAATAACCATCATTCTGAGCAATTTATCCCATTAAAGAAGAAAAAAAAAGATGAGGATTTGCAACTATCGAAGCAGCATTTCTTTTATGTGATTAATATCTTCTGATAAAAGTGTTTCCATGTGAAGACTTCTTCCTTTCTGAGATTTATCCCAACCGGTTACTTTGTCATCCTTAAAAGTGATAGTAAGCTTCGGTTGCTCAATTGAAATCGATATGGAGTCATTCAGGTTGACATTACAAGAAATGCTTTTTTTTACTCCTTACTTGCGGATCCGTAACTGCGTTAATTTGTTAACTACGACCAGTCACAAAAACAATTTAACCCCTTAACGATATTTCATCCTTCTAGTTATAATTTCAATAATTGATCATAATGTCAATTATAAGTTTATAATTATTTAGAAATATTTCAAATTCAATCAGTTAAAAGAATGATAAAAATTAAAAATTTATGTGCCTAAATATTATCCGGCATTTTGTTACAGTGACGGCACCAGACTGCTTATGTGGCAACATTGGTCAGTTAAGGTTTAATATGCTTAGACTTTTATTTTTTAAATAAAAGATGTTCCATAATATCCAATCTTAATATATAGTTTTAAGATTCTTGTCGTAAACTAAAGTGATAGGAGTACATGCGTCAATCTGTAACTGCGTTAACTCTTAACAGTCCGAAATAATTTCAAGTCTGAAGGTATTTCATCTTTCTAGCTATAATTTCAATAATTAATAATGTCAGCAATAAATTTATAATTATTTTGAATTAAATTAGTTGAAATTCTATCAGTTAAGAGAATGATAAAAATACAAAACTGATTTGCCTAAATATTATTCATCATTTTGTCACAGTAAGTGAAACAGCCAGGCTACTTATATGGCGGCATTGGTCCTTTAAGGTTTCATATGCTTCGATTTTTTTTAAATAAAAGATGTACCTTAATACCTCCTCTTAATATATAGTTTTAGGATTCATGTCGGAAACTAAAGTGATTGGAGTGCATAAATTTACAGTAAAAGACAGATTTTATCTAAAACCTAGAGAATCGTTAACAAATGGGGAGGGAAGAAAAATTATGAACACCGATTCGATTGCTGTCGAGTAAACCATATGGAATTTTAGTGGTTTTTTACTCTATGCAACGCAAATGTATGTCCTCTAACGAAATCCTCCACGAGACTAGTTTGTCTTAATGATCCAGAAGTTCCCTTGTCTTCTGGATTGGGCTGAAATTGCATGGGGTTGATAAGATTTGAACACTGACAATCGTAAACCCAAAAATGGTTAAAAGCTTATTATAAAATAAAATAAGAAAATTCGAAACATTTTCAAGTTTCATCGGGCAATCAGACTGGTGTTTTATTTCAGTATATTGTATTTTATTTTTTAGACAATCATTGGACAGGTTTGATAACGTTTTTTGTTTTATTTCCTTGCTAAAATATTAATTTCTGACCCACAATTATTTTTGTTTATTTTTGTCTTGACAAGGATGCTACAAACATATTTTAAGGAGACACTGAACGTATAATTCAAAATAATAGTGTGGACGATGATTAAATATAATTATAGTAAGCTATAGACATAGTTTAAAGTATATCTGTAAACTGCAGTAATATCGTCTTCGAGGATTTTTTAGTGTTTTACTTCAATATACTTTCCCATATTTTAATTTTAGAAACTCTATATTTTTGCAATACGAATGATTTTTTTTTCTGATGTTTAATTGTATTTTTATTTGAATTTCTTTTAATGTTGATTACTAGAAGTTTTATTCGCTCTAATATTTCGTTTATAAGCGTTATAATATCACGTTTGATTTTTTTTAATTGCAAATATAAGGTTACCTATAGATATTTTACTAATAGTTTCTTTTGCTCAGTTATCTATTTTGAAACAAATTAATTCGAATTTCAGAAATTTCTCGACTTCGAGTAAGTTTCAACGTCATGTTTTAAGGGAATTCAAAAGCACGAATAATTACACATTTTGTAAATATAATAGGCGTTTGAAGGTTATACGATTTCCACACACTCCACATTTTCCCTCCCGCGGTTGCCATGGTTTCGGCAAATCTTGCCTTTTCCCCAAACTATATTCTAGAACAGGGATGGCGAACCACTGGCACGCGTGCCATTTATGGCACCCGACACAATATTTCGGGCACGCCACCGATCACATTTGTTATTACACGAATGGTATTACACTATGAGGCATATGTAACAATTAAATTAAAATTCACAAAAAACACACAAAATAATGAGCAATTATTAATAAAAAATTAACAATTAATGCTAAAAAATTAACAATTAATGCTAAAAAAACAATTAATAACCCTATTAAACAAGCTAACAATAAATAAGTAGCAAAAAAATTAACAAACCTGCTTAAACTAACATCTTACAACCTAATATAAGTTATTTGTCATCTAATCTGCAACAACAGAAGTCACACTGCTGTTACTTTAAGTTGAATTACGCGTATAACTGAGACATTGCAAGATGTTTTTTTCTTTTTTTCAATGTAAATAAAGAGTTTTGAGTTGATAGTATTTAGTATTATTATTTTCCCAATAATCACGAAGTCAAAGTTATTTGACGGCACGTCTATGACCCAATTAAAATTTTTTTTAGAAAAAATGGCACGTTGGTGTATAAAGGTTCGCCACCCCTGTTCTAGAATCTTACTAGAACGTATTGCCGTGGGAAAAAATCAAAGTTTTTCGAAGCCATAGTGACTGAGAGGAGGAAAGTGTGGAGAGAAGGAAATTAGTGCAACTTTTAGGCACCTATTCTATTTACAAAGAGTATAAACATTTTCAAAACAATCTTAATCTGTCATAACAAATTAAAAAAATCTAAGAGAATCGTAATATAAGCAAGAAACTAATAAAGTAAGAAACTTTCGCGAAATTAAAGTTATCTGCATCGAAAGAGGGATCAACTTACTTTTAGATTGATGACGTAATCAGGAGAGAGTCCTCTTCCATTGGTTGTCGCTATGTTTCTAAGCAATCGTCCAGTTTCTTCATATCTTCCGGTTGCCAACAGCCATTTAGGTGATTCTGGAAAAACCCTGACAAACTGCTCGATTATGGTTCATGGCATCGCAACATTTCAAATATTATGAACTACAATAATGTACTGCATACTTAAATAATAGCAATTTTTTATTCATTTATTCATATTTGCGATAAATTTTTCAATTGTCAGGTATACAACTCAGTGTTTTCATCATAGAAAAAAAAATGGGTGAGAATTTCTCACCCTTTCTCAAAAACAGGGTGAGATTTCTAAAAACTAAAAAAACACAAACTCTTGAAAAAAAAAATTTCTTTAATTATAATACATTTTTAACGTCTTCTATTTTTTAAAGCATTGAATATTTTGGTGCATCATCATAGAAGTTATTGCGATTACAAGGTATTTGTCCATCTTATATTAGTGCATAAAAAATTTGAACGTCTTACATGAAGAAACCTAACCTACGGTAAACACGTGGTTGCAGAGAAATGTGTTTCTGAAAGGGGTTCTGTGATCAGGGGTCTGTTTAGAAGAAATTTGGGTCCGTTAACGGACCCTTCACGAAATATCTTTTCATGAAAACGGACCCTTCACAAAATATTTTAACTTAAAAACGGACCCTTCAGAAAGTGATTTTTCTTTTAATCGGACCCCTCACAAATTTATTTATCTTCATTATTGTTTTGTTAATCGAATAAACTCTTCCCAGGGCAGAAAACAAGAAAGATGGATGTAAACGAATTAAGTTTTGTCTTCGGCAGACGATTCTTCCATTATTCGTCCGAAATAAATATTCAACGTTCAGCAGTATAGGCTAAATACCAAATATTTGTATGTTGCATCTCTAATTTAGAAGGAGCAATTGTTGTTTATTTTTTAATATTTTATTTTTTTAATTACAATTTTACAGTGTTGAGCATAATCTTGTATGTCTATACAATTTAAAAACTCATTGAAAAAGTTTTTTGCAATAACCGGACCCTATTTGCACAAATTCATAAAAGCGGACCCTGGTTGAAAGAATGTGAGTAACTTTTTTAACAATTTCACGAAAAACGGACCTTTCACAAAATGTCTGGACAGACATGGTGATTGTGTTCTGTTGTTCGAAAAGGTTCTGAACAATACTGGTAAATAGGGAGGCTAGATAACGGGGCAGATGTTGAAAATAATGAAAGATCCAGGAAGAAAAGTGAAACGGATTTATTCTAAATGGCGTAATTCCAAGCTTTTTCCAAAATGAGAGAAATTCGCGAATTTTGAAATTGATTTATAGAATGCGCGAATTTCTTGCGGTAATAAGCTTTTAATGCGAGAAAAGAAAAAAATAAGCGAGATTCTCGCTTTCTCGCACTGTAGTGAAAACACTGCAACTTTTTACACCTTTTTAAGAATGTAAATGCATACGGCAAAATGCAAAATTTGAATGAAATCCAATAATAATCCAATGAATAGCTCTTTCGAAAATCCAATTTTAAATATGCGACTTTTTTAGAATTTGATCAGAAACTGTAATGTGCTCGAATTTTGAATTTTGCCATTAAAATTGCATTCTTAAAAATTTGTATACCTTACCGTTCAAAAGTTTTTTGATTATAGTTTAATGGAATAAAAAATATTTTTTTTGCATGGAATTCTCTTTGAATGAACGAATTTTATTATTGTATGTGGTATGCAAAATTGTTTCGGTTCGCTTAAAAAGTTCTCAAGAAATGACGAAATGCTCAAAAAGTAAAATTTACATTAAGGCGTCCAAGCTGTCGAAGAGGTGATTTTCTGATCAAATCAGTGGAAGCATATTTTGCAGCTACTCTATCCCCTTTCCCGAAAAATCCAAATCCTTCCAAAAAATTTCCTGTTTGTTCAGAGAAAATGCGATTTTTGTCAGATTTCGTAATTTAAAATATGGTTTGCACTAATTACCCTCGAACTTTTAAGATTAATTTGTTATACGTAAAAATCCGTTCATTAGTTTTGTTTTTCAGGGTGTTCAGTTTTTTTCATAGTTTTGCTCACTGATTACCTAATATATACGTATTTTTGTGAATATTGACACCAAGAAGTTATGCAAATTGAGCCAAACTTACAATGTAAAGGAAGTAAAGGCATGAGAATGATTAGAATTACAAAACGATTGCGCATGTGTGGAAACGAACAGACTCCTTATCACCCGCTTGTTTCATATATATAAGGGACCGTAAAGATCAGTTGAAATCGGTTAATCGTCTGCTGTCAGAGGTAAACGTTTAATTAGTGGCCAATATACCTAGTCAAAAGCGGGGAGCGCCATACTAACAACTGACGGAGTTCGTTCGAGCCAACATCGTTTGTGTAAGAGGGTGGATTTTCGTATTTGGATTCACTGTCACGGGCTACGTAATGCCAGCAACATTGCGTTTGGAAAAAATGAACACGAGAAACAAACAAGACTAAAACCTGGCGGTGTGGGAAGTAGGAGAATTGTTCGGGACGATAGACATTACATTCCATGGTTGTCACGGACCGTAAAGCGTTCTCTGGGTTAGCAACACGTTGGGACACGGCTACATGTGTTCTGTTGTATAGCTTAACTGTTCGCCAGTCTGCTGCGGCATCAACAGCGTGCAAGAATTCTTCTACCCATGATTGCTTTGTCTCTGAATGGGCAACTCCTTCGACTTCAATGAGCTCAGCTACGCAGTTCATGGCATGTCCGGTGGCAACAAATCATTTTTGTCCGACGAATCTAGCAACGATCTGAAGTACAATGATGTTAAAATACGCGTTAGACGTTATAGGGGGGAGCGTTTGCTCCCACAGCTTTCTTTCCAGCGTCATACCACACAAACGTCTGGCATTCATGGTTTGAGGAGCTATTGGGTAGTGCAGACTGCAGGCAGCCTCAACAGTGATTTTGCTACATTCAGTGTGGATCGCTCCATTGTAATTCTGTGAGTGTGGAGGCAAATTGAGGATTCTAGGATCCCTCTTATTCTTCAATGCATTCCGGGAATTGTATTTCAGCAAGATAATGCCCATGCACACATTTCTAAGATTGCACTAAGATTGCACTATCATTTCTTCCATAGCCCGCTTATTCTCCGGTTATGTCACCCATTGAGCATGTCTGTGATTTCTTCAGTCGGCGTTTTGCTCGTACTGCTGATGAGACACACAGTAAGACCGAAAATTGTCTTCAACTCGAAGTCATATGGAATGTTGTTCCCCCCGATTACATTTAGAATCTGTTTGTTTCAATGTCCCGACGTGTACAGGTTTTTTTGTCTTGTAAATTTGATCCTTTATTTGTACTACTATCAGTAATACGACGAATAAGGCTCATTTGTTTCTGACAATTCCTTCATAGAAATGTCTTTTTTTCATAAAAAATAGTGACATTCATAACACATATACAGACTTTGAAAATTCATTTACTTTATTTTATCTAATGTGCGCCTTTAAATGAAAAGAAAGTTTAATATTGCTTAAGCAATTTAACTAAAGGAATTTGTACTATTAAGTTGAAAACAATAAAATCCTTAGTCGTCTCAGTTTCCTCCATTCCGTTAAAGTTTTTGTTTCTAATATCTCGTTATACTCACCTTAAGAGCCCTATAAAGCAAGTCTCGTTTACAGGAAAGTAAGATAAGAATAACTGAAAAAACGCATATAATGAAACAAAAGTTAATGATAGCCATTCGTTAAACTTTGTAGCTTTAAGGTCTATCTAATATCTTCACTACTTATCGTAAAAAGAACTTTTTATTCCTTTTATTTCTAAAAATTTAAGGATTATAACAAAAAGTGTTTGTATGGCTGAAGAAGAGAGTTTTTGCTGTAACAGCAATAAAGTGTTTTGTTATTAACTGACTTAGCCAGATAGAAGACTTTGTGCTTTCTAATAACATACATTATGAACAGAGTGATTTTTATGTCTTTACAAAGTTTTATTATAATAATCAGTTTTATTATTATAATAAATTTTCATGAAGATTGAAAAAAAGAATTTTTAAGCAACGGATATACTGGGAGCTTTAAATTTAAAAGAGTAATACTGACGCATACATAATTTTTACATACACAATTACGAGTAATTGTTTTAAGAAAAAAATGCCTAAGTAAACGAGTGCAATTTATCTAGTTTGTAAAAATATAGTGTAGGTAGTTAATTTTACTTGTCATATTGATATAAAGTGTTAAATAACTAACGAACCAACTTCAGAGGTCACGAAACCGTTTTTTATGGCTTTAACCTTTGCGTTTGTGCGCAAAATGAGAAACGAAACAGCTTTAATAACTTTTGATCTAATGTTAAAAATGTTTGCTTACAAGGACTCAATCTTAATGAGAAATATTCTCACCATAAAAAGGCTAAATAATGAAGTACAGAAAATATTTTTTACATACAAAATCAGACAATTTACTTTCCCAAAATAAACATATCGTTTTTTTTATCCGATTTGCATTCTTGACTGCCATTAGGGCGTAACCTCAATCTAGAACATAGCTTGGCCAAGAAAGCGGCTCAAAATTTGGACGCTTTTATGTTAATTTTAATGTTGTGTTTATTTCGTTTTTGACAATTTGAGTAAATCTTGAAATGTTTGTTCAAAATTACAAATTCGTTTATCCAAAGAATAATAAGTTTAACCAAAGAATATCAGTGCAATAATAATTTTTAACAATTATTAATTATTTTTTACAACTGTCAAGAGAAATTTGAATCAGAAGGTATAAATCTTTTAAGAAATGATTTTAAAGAATACAATTTTGAATGGGCAATTCCAAAATTCGATCGAAATATGTTGAATAAAATTTAAATTATTGAAAAATTTTTAAAAAAATTTTAAGTTTAAAATTTTATTTCTCGAAAAATTTAATTTGATGCAAATTTTGTGTTTTGTCATATAAAATTACTTTCTTAAAAAAGATACAAAAATTTTGTTTGATATAAAATTCAAAGGGTTTTAAAAAACATTGCAAATGATTATTAAAAATTACTTTTTGCATGGAAATATTTTAGGATAAACGCATTTCCCAATTAAGTTAATAAAAAAACTAAATAAAAATTAA